AGAACAAAGCACTGAATGTTTTGATTCTGAGGTTAAAAGGATGTGACTACTGTCATTAAACAGAGTGCATTTGCATTATGATACAAGGGAACAAGAAGGCTACATTAAGATTACACAGGCACAGGCCCTATCAGACGGGGGGCCAGGAAGGCCATTTGGCCTCAGGAGACAAAGGGTCCTCAAATTTTGACATTTTTCTACCAAGTCATTTCCATTTATTATACACCTTGCGGTTATATCAAAAACAACAAAAGAAACTATATATACACCTGCAAAAAAAAAAAAAAAAAAAAGGCTGAAACCATTGTGGGACCTTGGGCCTTTGCCATTTTTTCAGTTGCAGCCGAGTTTTCATCTGAGTGACTGAAGACTGGAGTAGCTTCTGTGATTAGTGATTCTACGTTATGAAACACTGTTTACAGTTTTAGAGGTTTTGAAAGTCTTAATTAATTCTGTTACTGTAAAGTGACTTTTCTTGGTCTGCGGATGTGTTTAACCTTTAAATTAGATGTTTATCTCTGCACAGAAGATTTTTGTATTCCTGTTTTACCATGTGTGTCTTCATATCCAATAACTGTATCAGGCTGAGCTATACGCTACCTCTTTGTCCAGTTTTAGATTCATCTTTAAAGGCTTTTTTGTGATAATAAATTTTTAATTTTAGTTGTTTATTAAACTTTCCATCTAATCTGGCAACAGCCCCAAATTCATATTCATGATAACACACCAGTTATTAGAGGAATTTAATAATGGAAACATATTAACAGACGAAATTTCAAGACTTTGAAATGAGACTATAAGGGCCATAGTAAATAAAAAAAACCCAAAATGTTATTATATAATATTCACTGCGAAGGATATACAATTAATATGTTGTATAACTAATAGCCATTAGCAAATTAATGTATTGTGTGATACTGTGTTTTAAAAGAACCCCCTTATAAAAATGAAGTGAGGATTTGAAAGTGGTGCAAATAAGAGATGGCAAAAGTAACAGACTGAAGGCACAGTTAAGAGTTTAAGGCCAATAACATCATTTCTTGTAGAAAAGATGTCTTAGCCATTAGACAATGACCACACTGACAGTGGCACTTCCAGTTCTGATAATGAAAACTTTGTACACAGAAATGACATTTCAATGCCACTGCCTCAAAATGAGGTCATTAATCAAGGCACAAAAATGCCAACAGTAGCAATAGATGCAGAATCTATGCTCGATTTAGAGACTGTGCAGAAAGAAAATGAGGACCTCAGAGATGCTGCACAGCAAGAGCAAGAACTTATGACTAGCACAGGACACAGTGTAACAATAGTGGCATCAGAACCCAATATTGGAGTTCTTGATAAGAACAATGTTGCTCAAATGCAGTCATTTCTCAAAGTTAGTTGTTTTCAGATTCCAAGTAATATACCAAAAGATGCTGAAAATCATGCTTTTCCCACTTGCCTGCTGACATAAACTTTTCCAAATGAAGAGGAGATCTACACAAGAGACTGGCTCTGCTAGAGCATGGAGAAGCAGGCTCAGTACTGTATACTCTGTTTCATTTGTAACAGTAATACTTCAAATGCATCAGTACTGTCTGATCCATCCAGTTGGAGCATCAGTAGAGGTTGGAGGAAGTTGAAAGATCGAATACCTGCATAGGAAACTTCAGTATCGCATAAAGATAACTATGTTACATGGAAATCAGCTAGTAGAGCAGCACTTGCTGACAGTTCAATTGAATACTTACTACTGAGTGAAATAAATATAGTAATTGATAACTGGAAAAAACTCCTACAGCACATATTGAATGTCATTATTTTTCTTTCTGACCCCCTGGGGATTGGCTTTGTTGGGTTCCAGTCAGCATATTGGTGACCCTACAAACGGAAAGTTTCTTGAAATACTTGAGCTTTGAAAAAATGAGGAGTAACGTTAGTTTGAACCAAGGGGTTTGATTTGAACTAACACGTCCCAGAGCGCACTTCCTGGTTCGAATCAGCTGTTGAGCGGAATAACACATGGGCGAGATTATGCTAATGAAGCATGGGATATTTAAATCCCTGCTTTATTAGCAATTTCAGTCGGCTACATTTGCATCCCTAGCTCGAACTAGAGAGCAAGTGTAGACGTACCCTGAGGGACAGTTGTGCAAACAACAATTCTTGAAGAGTTAAAACATGCAAAGTACTTTTCAATTATTATTGATGCAACTCCAGAGTGTTCTCATAAAGAACAGATGGCCTTGGTTGTTTGATATGTTAACATTTCAGGAATTTCAAAGGTTTCAATTAAAGAATGATTCATTTTGTTCAATAATTTCACGAAAAAAAAAACTAGAAAAGAAATCACCGCTCATGTATTAGACATTCAGGAAGGCTTCAAATTAATTTTTTTCAAGTCTGCATTAGCCAAGCTTATGACAATGGATCCAATATGGCTGGGAAGTACAATGGAGTACAAGCAGTCCTTCTTGAGCAAAATCCAAAGTATATTTTCTCCAGTTGTGTCAACCACACACTACATTTTGTTGGCATTGATTGCACTGAATCACGCAAGTAAGCAATTACACACTTTGGAACAATCCAGCGATTGTACAACCTCTTCAGTAGCAGTTCTCAAAAGTGGAAAATTCAGAAGCAGCATCTACCTGTTTCCCTTCACGGCATGTTGACAACGAGATGGTTAGCATGAATTGATGGCATTAGGCCAGTTGCAAAGCATTTGGACTCTGTGAGAAAGGCTTTAAGTGAGCTTGAATCTCTTACCCTCACAGCACAGGTTTGCACTGAACTTAAGTCAATTCAGAAGTATATATCCAGATCTGAATGCATTTTAATGTTGTCAATGTGGATGAAGCTGCTAAAAATTATTTACAAAACTAATCTTGAAATTGAAGCACACAATGCCAAGTAGATGTTGAGAGGGATAACACTAAACAACTTCTTAAAGATATTCAAAAGATTTGTAATCAATGGGATGCAATCCTTTCTGAGTCCAAATCAGCAGCACATGGTATTGACATTTCATCTGAGTTTTCCACCAATCACAGCCTAACATCTCAATCTACGCAGAAAGATACTATCGAGTCAATTTTTTTTACTTGACTATCTAATCTGGTTTTATATGTCTGTCTGAGTCATTCTGACAAATTTGTACTCTTTGTGAGTTCAGAGAACTAAGTGCTGACGATCTATATTCAGCAGCTGAACAGATTCAACAAAGGTTTAACAACAAAATTTCAAGAGATCTCTGTGACAAGACTGCCTTCCTGAAACATATATATTCCACCAACTTTAAATCAGACTGCAAGCCAAAAGAACTACTTCAAGAAATATTTGATCTCGGCCTGTCAACTGTATTCCTAATTTCACAATTGCATTACATGTTTTTGCCAGTCTCCCTGCTTCAGTGGCTTCAGGTGAATGCACACTGAACGTGTCAAAACAAGTAAAGAACTATCATTGTTCTACAATGGGACAAGAGCATTTGAATGGGCTCGCAATGTTTAACATTACCAGTGATGTTGCACACAAATTAGATTTTTCTTCAATTATAAACGAGTTTGCACACAACAAAGCTAGAAAAGCATTCCTAAAATGAAGAGTTTTGCTTGAAGTGGAAACTCCCAATTAAAGTTACATTTTTAATATACAAGGTATTGGTATAATGACTTAATTGTTAATAAATACATGTCTCAAGTATTCATTTTCATATACTCTTTTGTTTTTAGTACTACCCTATGGATGAGAAGTTAGATACATGGGGGGCCAGGGCTAGGGCTGGGTTAGGGCCTCTAAAGTAAAAGTGGCCTGGGCTTCTGTCATTCTCAGGAGTTTCATCTACGCTAGCATATTTTCTGCCGAAAAAACTGCAATGAGGGATTCATTAGCATAAGTCATGATCTCACTAGCATATTTCCTGCCATTTCTTTTTGTGCAAGGGGTTTTTGCGCAAAAAGCAGTGTGGACAAGGGGTTTTTTTTTTGCAACAATCCCATTTTGCACAAGATCCTTATGCCTGTCCCGGAGAGGCACAAGGATCTTGAGAAAAACGGGGGTTTTGTGCCAAAAAAAAAAAAAAAAAATTAGAGCAAAAACCCTTTGCGCAAAAAGAAATAGCAGAAAATATGCGAATGAGATTGTGACTTATGCTAATGAGTCCCTCAGCATATTTTCTGCTGGAAGAACTCACAGTGAAGACATAGCCTGAGAGGGCTTGCACAGACAACCTTCATTCTAGTGTTCCGTAACTTCTCAGAGCTTGACTTTGCAACCAGAACATTCTTTTAATGTAGTTATTTTGAATGTACTATTATATTTCACTTTGCAGCATATACCTATGATTAACCTGATTACTTGTATCTCCCTAAAGAAACTTTAGAGGATTCCACATTTTTTATAGAAGAAAAATCCACAAATGTTTTCTGTTATTTTTTGTTTGTGAAAAAAGTATTTTGGACTGTAAATATAAATGTAGGTAATTCAGTATGCTACAGTTTGATCATTCAAACAGATTTGGACTTGGGATTTACCCAAAGCCCATTGAAATTAACAGAAAGATTCCCAAATGACTGCCATGGGCACTGGATTAAGCCCTTAACAATCTGTCTTGTGCAAGCAGCATAAACTTACCCTTGACTTACCTAATAATGTAAATCAACAAAACAATATTATACTCTTTCTCTAGCTCAGTGGGACACTATATGTTCAGTGCAGAAAAACAAATATCCTGGAAATGTTACTTATAAAATGCTCCATTTCTCATATTAATATTCAAGATTGTCTTATCAGTTAAGTTGCATTATACCAAAATAGTGAGTGATTTATAATCCACAAAAGTATTTTTCCAATCTTGGACCTTATGAGACTATCTGAATATCAAATGAAATTTTTGTACCTTAACATTTTCTTTATTCTGGGACCACCCTTGAGGTTGAATGCCCATTGGTCCTGCCTGTCCAGATTGCCAACGATATCCACTTGATCGTCTAGAGAATAAAAAAGGATAAAAATGTGATTACTAAGCATATTTCTCCTGTAAATTGGAGCGGGTGAATCATTTCCCCCAATATCCAGATTTCCCATCCCTTCTGTCTTCTAAGTGTTCTCTCTTTAAGAGAGAATAAATGAAAGATCTTGTATCCTTGTTTGTCTCTGAAAAGTGTTTTAGTAAACTATCAGTATTACACAAATTAAATCATTAAGAACAGTAGCAGCACCTCTATGATTGTCCATCTTGTATTAATTCATTTTGAGGTTCAGCCAAACTGGTGGTCTCAGTCTCAGTGTTAGTCTTGCACCTTTCAAAACCACTACATTAATTTTAGCAAGAGATGGCATAAAAATCACTGAAAACTAAAAGGAGGAGCTGAAGAACTGTAATATTTTAAAGTTTTAGCTATTTATTGAGATTTTGTCAGAGCATAAAGGCAACTAGAAATCAGAAATAAATTACTATGATCCAATGAAATTAACAGCACTTAATGCTCAAGTAACATTATATGTATATTAAAGTGCTGTATAAATATTAATGAATTCATCCTTATAACACCTCTGTCAGATAGAAAAATATGAATTATACACATTTTACAGATAGGTAATGAGTCTCTGAGCTTACAGTTATTTGCTAATGTCACACTGTGAGTCACTAGCCAAAATTAATCTATGGCTCACTCACACATATGATGGAAAGAATCAATTTAGGAACTATTACAATGTTTAGTCTTTTTGAAATGTTACGTGCATGCATTTAACTGACTGAAACAGTGACAAAATAAAAAGTATGGTACTGATTCACTGATTTAACTCCAAAGTTACAATCTCACTGGAAAAAAAGAAAAAGAGAATGTCACTGGAGGAAGGGGGGGGAGGGAGGGACTCTGGCTGTCAGTTCTGATATTATGTTCCACAGGGGAGGAGAAAGAGAAATGATTGTGACATCAGAGGTAAATCAACCAATCTCACAGGAGAGACTGTAAAAAACCCCACTAAACAAAAAGCAAGCTTATCACAGGCCAGCAGGAGGCTGTTGATAGGAAAAGAAAAGAAAAGAGGAGATAAAAAGACAGAAAAGTAGGAAAAGCAAAGAACTCAGAGGGAATAGTGAAGAACATTATACAAAACACTAGTCTTTAGTGGAGTTACCCACAAGAGATTTTCAAAAGAACACACATCTCATTGGAATGCCTTGATTTTATAGTTAAATTCTGAAGAAATTTCACTTACTCCCTCCTCTCTTCTTTTTCTCTGCTCATATTAGATTGCAGTTGCTGTAGTTTTGTCTCCATTTCTCTGTTTTCTAGTTCTAACTGTACTTTCTCCAACTTCAGCTCTCGTACATTTCTGGAGAAATGAATTTGAAACTTATGAAGACTATCAGAACATGGAAGACAATGAAAAGAGATTTTGGACAGATTTTAAGTGGCAGGGCACAATGTTCACAACTTTTAATACTGAAGGTGAGTAATCCGCATTGTCCAATGCAAGCCTAAAAATCTAGGTCTGACAACAACATTACTTGTCAGACAGGGCCATTTTTAGGGAAAACCAGCTACAGGCAGTCCCCGGGTTACATGGATCCGACTTACATCAGATCCCTACTTACAAACGGGGTGAGGCAACCCCGCACTAGCTGCTTTCCCCCAGCAGACCAGGGAGACGCGAAGCTAGCGCCCCCCCGCCCCAGCAGACCAGGGAGACACGGAGCGGCTTTTCTCAGCAGACACTTCAGCTTGAGAATAAAGGACTGAGGGAAGTGAGGTGTGGGAGAATAAAACTGAGCTCTGGAGAAATGTTTGGCTAGAGTTTCCCCTACAATATGTACCAGTTCTGACTTACATACAAATTCAACTTAAGAACAAACCTACAGTCCCTATCTTGTACGTAACCCGGGGGCTGCCTGTATATGCATCCAGGAATGTTTAACCATAGAAGATGAGTTTGCTGGAACTAGTCAGCTCCCTCACTCCCCTGAACTTGTGGATGGGTAAATAGGAGAGATGGTGATCTACCGCACTTTGCACTTTGCACTCTACAAGGCTACTCGGCATTCAGGCGGGTAAAAGGAAAAAATAAAGAGTGATGACTATTTCCTTTTTCCAGCCTAGGACAGATCTAACCAACCAGCAAAACATTCCTAGTATAGACACAAGGTAATCACTATACTGTCTCAATACCTGCACTTACTGGAATAGCCATATTATTAAAACTAAAACAAAGCTATGCTGGTAAAAGTTTTAAGCATAGATCAATCTCTTAATCCACAAAGAATTTTGAAAACCAGATCATAGATTTTGTGCTCTATTCTGAAATGGTGAGAAAAATGTACCCTGGAGATTTCCGGGGCTTTGGGACAACACATTCCATGTTCAGTCAGGAGGACAAGCCACTATGTTTTCAACAAAACTTCGGAAGATATCAATGGAGAAGAGGTACATAAATTATAATAAAAAAGTAAGGATAGGGTAGATTTAAGTCTTGACTATTTTGAAAAGTTAGAATGGTAATGTGATGTTGGATAAGGGTGTGATTTTTTTTAACCAACATAGCTATGCTGGTACACTTGAACCTTGGATTAAAGATTTTGCTGGGCCAGTGAGGGATTAGGATAGGGGATTTAGCTAGTGCTTCTCATCATCTGCTGCTCCCAGGCACGGTTTCCCTGCTGCTAAAGGAGTGGCGGGGAAAAGTCTCTGGAAGAGTGCATCACTGCTCTGCCATTCTCCCAGCTGGGTAGAGAGGAAGCAGCAGTGAGCAGGCCGTTTACACCTGCCAGGGTCCATACCACTGATGTTCCCTAATTAGGGACACCTGGAGTACAAAGGTTATAAGTGTATAGGATTCAATGTGATATAATTGCACCCATTTTGATGCTCAGCAAGGCGGAAAAATCCTCTTTAGCATAGACAGGCCTTAATAAAGACATTACATTAGATTATCTGCATAGCAATGATACCCAGGGCTTGACAAACCGTGGTGAGATCTACTCGCCAGCCCTGCACCGCACATGCACCAGACTGGCATTGCGCATGCGCGCAGCGCCGGTGAACAGAGCAAACGGAGAGACCAGCTGAAATCTACTCACCACGGGCGAGTAGAAACAGCGATTTGTCGAGCCCTGATAATACCCATGACTGAATTCAGTAAGTTAAAACATAAGAAAGAGAAGGTTGATAAATAAAAACCTGAAAAAATAGTATCAGAGAGATATCTATAATTTTTACTTTTGTACAAGCATAGTTTCATACTTTATGTTGAATATGAATGTATTAAAATGCAGAGTCACGTAACATCTCTATCATAGTCAGAGGAAAGGCACTTACTTCACTTTTAATTTTACAGAAGTTCCAGTTTTTGAACCAGGGAGTACTACAAAGTCATTGATGTTCATGATTCCTCAATGTCAGCTCGAATCAAAAAACCAAAAATCAGGATGATTTGTGAAATTCTTTGTGGTGAGTAACCTGTTCAAATGGAACAACTGTATTGAAATTAAAAATTGTAAAACAATATATATAGTTGTTACAAAATATTAACATACTGGAAAAATTTGGAAAGCAAAAATGTATTATATCAAGTCAATGATGTGCTAAAGCAAATCTAAATTAAACTAAAATAACTTTTAGAGCATTTATGAGAATCTCTGGCCCATTTTCTCTTCTCAAGTACACTCACACACTGTATAGTACAGTTGCATGGATTAACCAAGGATAAATTTGCTTCAGCATTTAATAAAACATTGATTTCTCAAAGACTATCCATAGCACACAACAGACAAAATAAGGCCCAAATGCCAGTGCTAAAATGAGCACTAACTCAAGTCAAAATCAGAATAAAATCACAGTAAAGTATTAGGGAAGCTGAAAGCCATCATTATACTATGCACAAGTCCATATAAAATAATAAATATATGATTCTTTCATGTATTTTCCAGATTTTAAGATCTTGACTGTACTTTCTGTAAATATTTTAATTTTTTTTTATCTGAGTTATGACATTCTTATCTGATCCACTTACAATTTTTTAAAGATACAACCACAGGGCAATGTCCATACAAGTCATGACACTTAGCCATGTTTATTTCACTGCATTTTGGGAAGATTCTCACAATCAGAAGTACCAGCAGCCAGAGAGACAATGTGCTCTGGGATGTCCTACTACACAGATTTCTGGAATTTCTGAAGTCATGTTGTGGAGGTATGATTTGAAGAGCTCCAGATAGATAGAAGAATGACAATTTTACAGCCTGATCACACGAATACAACCATAAACCAGCTAGGATGCTAGCAACGATGACTCGTGACTAGCAGTCACAGTTTCCTAATGTGCAATAAACATTTCTGGTGTGAACACCAACTACTGTTAGAGCCAATCATGACTGACTGACTAGTTGGTTAGAAAGCATTAGTACAGATGGCCTGAAAATGATGACCATTTTAATGCTGAAAAAAGTGTCAGTAACATGCACCAAGTGCATTTATCTAATATGACTGGATGCCCTTGGCAAGACTTGATGCTTCATTCATTTCAATAGAGGTTCAATAATAATAAAAAAGAAGAATCTGCTGTCATAGTACATGTGTGCGCTAGAAACAGCAAGGCAGCTAAACAGGCTGGCACAGGCACAGCTATTCCAGGTCTGATCTGAAGACTTATGAAAACTTAAAAACCAATACAACAAAGGATTGAAGCCAAGTAGTATTTTAAACCGCATTTCTAAGACATTCTTTAGATTTAATATATGTAATGCTGAAGTGACAGATACAGCAATTGTCTACAATATTCCTGAAAACACGTCATTGAACCATTCGCTGCTGATTATCTCTCTGCGGAGTCTCCAAATCAAAGGCCTAAGCAGTATAAAGGCAAAATTAACCTATTCATGGACATTCTAGTTCTGAATCTTAGCCCTTATCGACTAATCGAATAGTCGATGCCAATTGTATCGATTATTCAATTAACCAATTAATCTAAATGTAACATCCCTGTGCAGTTGTCCTGAACTGTGTCAATTGTCAGCTTATCTAAACACTAATTTCCCCGTGTGGACACACTTAGAACTGGTTATATCCATTTCCTTGCCTCATTGCCAACATACATTTACAGGAACAAGCTAAACTAATACAAGGCTGGAATAAATCAGTAAGAATATCCGCCCCTCCCCCCCGATCAGATAGAGGCAGCAAGGGGGAAGGGAAGAAGAGCAGGTACTTCAAAGCCGCATGAAGCCTGAGACCAGACCCCCGGGCTCCACGAGGCACTGCAACTTTTAGAAGCTGCATGCAGCCCAGGGCCAGGTGAGGTGTCCCAGGCTGTACGTGATATTTCAAAGCACAAGCACTGCATGGACCCCAGGATCAGCTGAGGACTCCCCAGCTGATCCTGGGCTCTGTGCAGTGCTGCTTCTTTGAAACGCCACAGCATCAGCCTCATCATGGCATTTCAAAGCAGTAATGCCGCGTGGAGCCTGGGATCAGCTGGGGACTCCACAGCTGACCCCTGGCTCTGTGCGGCACTGCCGCTTTGAAATCCTGCGGGCAGCCCAGCATCAGGCTCCTTGTGGTATTTCAAAAGGGAAGTGCCCCATGGAGCCCGGGATCAGCTACGAAACCCGGCCTCAGGCTCCCCGCAGCATTTCAGGGAGGCAATGCCACAAGGAGTCTGGGCTCAGTGGAGGAGTCCCCAACTGACCCGAGGATCCACGTGGCACTTTCACCTTTGCAGTGTAGCAATAGCCCTAGGGCAGAGGTGCCCTGTCAACTAATCAAATAGTCGATGTAAAATGCACCAACTATCTGATTAGTCAATTACCCGATACTTAACATCCTGACCATGCACAGAGGTTGATCTGCAGGATGCGGAGCAGCCTGGGCCCACCGCAGTCAGAGGCTACTTCGTGGCAGCTTCCCCTGCCCCTCACCCCTCAGTTACAGGTTTATTAAAGAAGCTTATAAATCATATGGTTACAATGGCTATTGCTCTATTTCTTAACTGCTAGCAAATATAGATCTTAAAAATGGTTACAAAGAAAATAAAGATAGAAAATAGAAATAATGGTACCAAGTGACAGCTTAATCTTAAAGAGCTCTAAGTCTATGTGTACACACACTTAAGACAAAGGACCACATCCAGGTACAATTTTTACCCCCTTCTGTGCCTCTCGAAATCACGAATACGAGGTGTGCATCCCCATGGAACTCGGGAGGTCAAACACCTAACCCGACCAGCAGATAGATGGTAGACTGACACTCAGAGTAAATGTGCTGCTGGACCCATCTTTATACCCATAGGGGCCCGTATCCTCTTTCTTATCTAAGATGCCAAATTGTACTGGTCTTTGTGACGCCAGTTCTTACAAAGGAGTTTCAACTTAATTTACACTTGCAAGAGAGATAACTAAATTGTGAGATTCCTCCCCCCATGGATGGCTGTGTGTTCGTATCCAATTCTTTCATCAGGTTGGGGCAGAGGATTGGGATACAGGCTCTGGTTTTGGAGTAAGGGATCTGGAGTTTGAGAGGGACTCTGAGCTGCTCTTCAGGCAGGCAGGCAGTTGGGATGTAGAAGGGGGTTCTAGGTGCAGGCTCTGGGATGGCATTTAGATGAAGGGGTGCTCGGGGCTTGGGCTTCAGGAGGGGGTTCATGACTGGGATAGGAGTTCGGGATGAGGGTTCCAGCTGAGACCAGGGAGACGCTGAGCAAAGCGGCGGAGGACCCGGGGCCGGACCCGCGGCCGCTTCCAGATCAGCTGGAAGCGCCGCGGGTCCAGCCCCGGGTCCTGCGCCGCTTTGCTCCCCGTCTCCCTGGGCTGCTGGCTCCCCCAGCAGACCAGAGAGACGGGGAGCAGCTTTTCTCTCCCCGGAGGAGGCGGGAGCTGATCTGGAAGCGGCCGCGGGTCCGGCCCCGGTCCTGCGCCGCTTTGCTCCCCGTCTCCCTGGTCTGCTGGCTCCCGCAGCAGACCAGGGAGACAGGGAGCAGCTTTTCTCGCCCAGGCGTCCCGCCGCTCGAGTCCTCCGGGGCGAGAAAATCCCCGTTCGTAACTGCGGATCCGACATAAGTCGGATCTGCGTAACTCGGGGACTACCTGTATAATATTTGCTGAGTTCCCCATCTCTGCTGATTGTGTACTTCCAGATCCAAATGAGATGGCTGTTTTGTAACTCTGGTATTCTTAACTCTGATTTTCTACTGTATTTTTAACATTAAGACACTTTCAGACATCTGCACTTGCTCTAAAGACCTCCCAAGAGAGAAACCTTGAATTTCCTCTATTTCTTAGGTATGCAAAACCTCAAGCAAATTAAACTCTTGCCTTTAGCAATTTCATTAAAACTAACCAACTCTCCTCTCTGCTAAGTAAGGTTCACAGGTTTAGCTGCTCCCTGGATTAGCTCTGGAGAGGCAGGAGGGAGAATTTCAATGAACGTTTATAGAGCAGCAACATAACCTGAATAATAAATTAGGCTTTTTAAAAGTCTCATTTTTCTTTAGCCATAATGGGTACAGCACTGTACGTGATTTACACAGCAAGAAATAAAAATAATATCAACAGCATGCAGCTGTACCGTCACAAAAGGTGTGTTTCCATAGGTATTTGTGTGATTGTCTCCAGGGTGCACCTCCTCCACCCCTAAGGGCTTTCCTGCTCACACCATATCCATTCCCCTCCCAGGCCCTTCACCAATTGTCCCTTTACACCCACCCACCTCGCAGGGAGCTGCTGGAAACCCAGAATTCACAGCCTAACATTTCTAAGGGGTATGATAGAGTTCCATACCCAATGGGAGGGGATAATCAAGAGAGTTCTGGATTTCACAAATCACATACATACACATACACAGAGAGAAGATACACTTGTTGACAATATTTTGAAATATCCCTTACAACATATATTTAGTATGTTCAGCATCCTTCAAGACTTAATTCAGTAAAATATTTCACTTTAAGCACATTAGTAAATATCTAAATTTACTTTACATCAGACTACTCACACATCCCGCACCTGCAGCTGCCGCCCGCTCCGCGCGTAAACCGAGCGGCGTGTCTGCTGTTCCCATGACAACAGTGGCGCGGATCGTACCACTGCGACTGCCAGTGGGGAGGGAGCAGGGAGTTGGCTGGGGAGAGGGGAGTCCATTCCCTGAGGTGGGGGCTGCGGGAAGTAAAGGCGAATCCTGGGAGGGAAGGGGGAGTGCTGGGCAACTTCTAACCCAGCTCCGTAGGGTCCGCTCGGCAGGGGCGGCTCCCCTGGTGTCCATTGGTCCCGGCCATGGGTTGCTGGGGCCTTTACCCAGGGCGGTTCTTAGTCCCCAGGCAAGGCTTGCAAATAGGCGCCTACCGCCCGCTGGGAGCGCAGGGCCCAACGACACTAGAGCCCTGAGCCGCGCCCTGGCCCACAGCGGCTGCATCGCTAAACACCCGGCTAAGCACAGCCCCCTGGGAATGCAGCGCTGGGGGGCTTCCCCGCCCCCCAGACCCTGATTGGCCTGGGGAAGCGGTGAAGTCTTTGCCCCCGCCCCAGAACGATCCGCCAGCATCCCCTCCAGGCGCCCGTGGCAGTGGGGGGAGAGTTTGCCCGCTCCCCCCAACCCGCAGGTCAAGCAGGGCCTGGCGTGGGGGGAAGCACAGGAAGTCTCTCACTCCCTGTCCTACAAGGGGGCATCATGCTTAAAGTCAACCGGCAGCTGTGCAGCAACTGGCAGTTGACGCTAAGCACCCTGTGCCCCTGGCAGTTGACTCTCAGCACCACAGGACCCTGGTGGGGGAGGACACTTTGTGTGCCTCCCCCCCAGCTTGATTTACCTGAGGAGGAGGGGCAGCAGGGCACTTGCAGGTCACACCTGCAGCCAGTAAATCCATCAGTACTGTTACTCCCTCACAGAACATAAACCAAGGGGCCAACCCTGTTTGCTAACTCCAGATGTCTACACTGGTGGATTGTTGTGTCAGAAATATGCAAATGAGGCTAAGCGTGGACTATTGCTGAGCCTTATTTCCATACCTAATGAGCCGCAATTTGGGGAAGAGGCTTTTGCACCAGAAGGAGCATCTACACTGCCCCTTTTTGCGCAAGACTTTTTCTTGCGCAATGCCACTATGCTGATTATTTTCAGGAATAATGACCCCAAAACCATTTCCTCAAATGATGGCCAAAATGCATGGCAACACACTCATTTTTAAATCAATTGGATATCCCATTTTATTTGCTTCAAGCCTAGCCCTGCCAATTTTGCTAGCAGACCATTATTTATAATTGATGTTCCTTTAGGGAAAAGCCAGTCTTTACAGAAAAGCTGGCAGTTCAGGAAAAAGTGGTTCATTTATGATCCAAGTCAAGCATTAATAAGTGCAAACTACTGTCTGATCGAGATTTATGAACTGTGAGCTATACTTCATTTGGAAAATTTACATTGGTCTTTTATGCATTCAAGCTGGGAGGCACAAAATAAGTTACAAAGTTTTTCTGGATTTCATGACATGTTTGGCAGTATTTTTCTTTCATTAACTTGGTCAGTAAAATTCTAAAAATTTTAAATCAACAGGCAATTATGTGATGGGAGTCTGAGGAAACCCATGTGATTACTTAATCTTAAGAAGGGCCCCTATTCTCCATGATAAGTGTGAAATTAAACACTGTTACATAATACTTTCTTCTCTTAAACTCATGTTGAATTGTTTTCCATTTCACGATAAGCATGCATAAAAATCACAATGGAACATTACTTTTAACTTCTTTTACATTGAAAAAATGTTTCCAAGGGTAATAGAACACACTGACTATACCTAAGAAATTTGTGCTCTGTTGTATAAGGTGAGCAATATGTGTCGCTGTATAAAAAAAAATGTTTCAGAGATGCTGTACCCAAAGCAATTTTTTTTAAAGAAAAAGTGTAAATACATACAAAGTGGAATATTAGATGGAGGAAAGCAATAGCCCCTAATACTTCAGTTTCTAGCTCCTGTAACCATGTTTTCATTATATGGGATAAGGGTTATTTTCTGTAACTTGTGCTAGTCAAATTGTAGTCCAGACCATACATCAGGCCTGGCATAATTGTCTAACACAGTTGTAAGTAAAAAAGTCTTTGTCCACACACATTACAGAACCTTGCTAGCAATAATAAGGTAAATGCAATTAACGTATTTTCAAGGGTCATATGACACTGATTTTCAATGGCATGTATACAGCTAGCCTGTATGTTATTTGGCTAACAAATTTGTTTCCGCATAAGATTTTGTCGGCTGGAACCCAATTCATTAGATGCATGAAGTGGAAACTTTTGGTTGGTTAGCTCCTGGGATGGTGTCACTTGAATAGATATGTGGACAGATTTGACAGTGAGATTTGTTGCAGGGACTGGTTCCCGGGCAGTTAGGTCCTGGGATGGTGTCACTTGAATAGCTATGTGGACAGATTTGACAGTACGATTTGTTGCAGGGACTGGTTCCCGGGCTAGTGTTTCTGTTGCATGGTGTGTAGTTGCTGCTGAGTATTTGCTTCAGGTTGGGGGTCTTTCTGTAAGCAAGGACTGGCCTACCTCCCAAGGTCTGTGAGAGGGAGGAATTGTCTTCCGGGAGACGTTGCATATCCTCGATAATGTACAGGAGAAGCTTTAGTTGGGGGCAGTAGGTGGTGGCCAGTGGCATTCTGTTATTTTTCTTGTTGGACCTGACCTTTGGTAGGTGACTTCTGGGTACCCATCTAGCTCTTTCATTGTGTTCCTTCACTCCCCCAGGTGGGTATTGTGGTTTCAGGAATTTTTGATGAAGATCCTGTAGGGATATGTCTCTGTCTGAGAGATTGGTCCAAATGCGGTTGTACCTTAGGGCTTGGATTGAAAGTTACAGGCATGTTAGTAAGTATAGGAGTCAGTAGGGTTACTGTATAGAGTGGTGTTTACGTACCATCACTTTTTTGCAAAGTATTTATAAAGATTCTCATTGACTTCAATGGGCTATGGATCAGGCTGCATAGCTGGAAGAGTATTTGGAGCTTCCAACTCTTTTATGGAGAGGATTTGGACCACTAAATCTGAATACATGGGGAATTCAGTGATGAAATTAATTTAGAATTAACACTTCATACTTCAGCAAATTTCACCATAAATATTTTAGATGATTTATGTGCCATTCAGAATATTTTGTGCCTTTCCTCTTCTGCTTACTTCTCATTTTTGTTTTGTTAGTTTAAATCTAATTTTTGCAATCAAATATTATTTCTCCTTTAGGCAACTTTCACAAATGCAGATTATATAAAATAAATATATAATCCTCCAGGTTTACTTTACTTGCAAGTAAATATATATTCAAAGTTCAGATGAACAAAACTGAAATTCAGCTAAAATCCATCTGGTGGAGTTGTGCTATAAGTAATAAGCCCTCCATGTATTCCTAGCCTCTTAAAATGCCATTATCTAGCTTTGTTTCTAATCTATTCATGATAACAGGGAAAACCAAGTTTCTTTTCCTGGGCTTTTTTATCTTCAATCTATACTGAAAATATTTTGGAATCATTTTTTTAAAACTGTAATTTGTAGTTAGATAGGACTCCGGAGTGAATGTTAGAGTTTGGACTACTACGCCTGCATTACTCTTCCATGGTACCTGAAGAGAAGGCACTCTATGCTCCTCATGCATCCATTGACACCTCTCTTGGGTAAAGGCGAGGGATATTCAAAAATGTATATCAGGGTAACCCACGGTTACCCACACTGTGGGCTCTGCAGTATAAAGCTTAACTTTATACTGCAGAGCCCGCAGCAAAGCTTCGCCGGAGTGAGGTCACCAACCCCTGATGGCGTGGGTTCTAAGGAGGAGGCTTTGCTGTGGCAGTGAAGTCTCCTCCCTGGCAGTGGAGCAGACAGTCCTGGCTTGCCCAGCTCCCAGGAGGAGGCTTCACTGAGTGTAACTGACAAGCATGCACTTAAGCATAAGCATGCACAGTAAAACAGTTGTTTACACTCAAACATCCCTAGTAAAGACAGACATCTTTCTCCCTCCTCATCAGGGCATTAAGACTGCATAGTTCCCTGCCTACGCTATGATATTTCCAGCAAGCCACACTTCCAAAACAGGCTAAAGTCTGCACTTTGCTTTCTCTTCAAAGTCTGTGAACAATAGTAATCGATTACCACACAACTGTTTGTAAGCAAGTACTTTTATTGTTAAGGTGAAAGCATTACGAATAGTAAAAGAATCTAGACGTATTCAAAAAACTTATCGTAAGTCACCCCAACTCCAATGTCAGGCAATTGTAGATGTTAATCCTTCAAAACCCACAACTGTTGTTTCCTCATGATTATCAGTTCATAACAATCTTAGGCTATGTCTAAATTGAAGAGTTTTTCGAGGATATCTCATGTCCAAGGAATGCGTCTGCTTTTTCAGAACAGTTTCCAAAAAAGCTTTTCAAGGATATCTCATGTCCAAGGAATGAGTCTGCTTTTTCAGAACAGTTTCCAAAAAAGTGGACGTGTTCTTTTGACATTTCTGTATTCCTCTTGGTGAAAGGAATAAGGGATGTACCAAAAGTGGAGTTTTTTCCAAAATTTGACCCTGTGTAGACAGGCCAAATTTTGGAAAAGCCTCTTTCGGGAAAAAAAAATTGGAAAAAAAAGTCTTTTCCGACTTTTCTCAGCAGTCTAGACATAGCCTCAGATTCAGAATCAGAACCCAGACTGGGTGAATCAGCTGTTTTCAGCTTGGGCTCTTGACCTCCTACTTCTTGGAAGAGGTATTCAGCGGACAAGCACTCTGAGCTCAGGTCATGGCTTCAGAAGGCTGAGTTTTTGTAAAACGGGGGTTGACAAATTACATGAATCTTTTCCCTATATATTTCCCAGGAAATCTATTTCACGCTTATTGTCCCAAGTCTCCATTCTCATTTGGCACAATTCAATATAAACCTTTGAATCCCCAGGCCTCCCCCTTATATACAATCCAAGCGCACAATGGTACATACAGTTTACATTTAATACCATAAGATTTTTCAACCATATTACAGGAATTTGCCATATCCATCACATACAGGCAGCTCATTGAGCCTTAGCAGGATTGGTTTTCAAGAGTTTGTGCCAACCTTTGTTCTGGTTCTATTCTGCAGTAAGGCTATGTCTAGATTACAGTGTAGTTTCAAAAGAGGATATGCATATCTTGCTTTCGAATGTAAAAGTAGTCGGGACGCGGTTTTTTCAGCAACCACTCCCTTTTTCGAAAAGCCGCTTGGTGAAGATTGGTGAGTCACCTAACTGATCTGAGCAGATGATCTCACTTCATTGTGGTTAACTTAATGCTTCCTGTCTGTAAAACAGAGGGTCAACAATGAGTCAATTTCAAAATGTAATTAGAACTTGAGAACTCCTCATAGTCCAGTGGGATCTGTCCAGCAGGATCCTCACCCACTCATTCCATAGCTAAATTTGGCCTTTTATTTAATTTGAAACTAAAATACTAAACAAAACTCTTAGGACTCGTCTAGACTATGCTGAAGTTTCAAAAGAGGATCTCACTTCCTCAAAAAATGAGGTTGAGCGGCTTTTCGGAAAAGGGAGTGGTAATCAAGACATGGCTTTTCGAACGTGAGATCCTCTTTCGAAACTTGTTGTTTTTCCTGTAACAGACTAACTCGGCTACCCTCTGAAGCAGATAAAAAGACATCTTTTAAAAAGTGGAAGTCAAATCCTAGTGAGGAAAATAGGAAGGAGCATAAACTTCATCAAATTAAGTGTAAAAATATAATAAGAAAAGCCAAAAAGGAATTTAAAGAACTGCTAGCCAAAAACTCAGAAAGTAATAGTAAAATTGTTTAAAGTACATCAGAAGCAGGAAGCCTGCTAAACAACCAGTGGGGCCCTTGGATGATCGAGATCCTAAGGAGCACTCAAAGATGATAAAGTCATTGCAGAGAAGCTAAATTAAGTC